TTGCTTCCTGATTTGGTATTGCATATGCCTCAGGCCACTTGGTGAAATAATCCATCACCACACAAATGTACTTGTTTCTAGCATGAGTTTGAGGCAAAGGACCAGCAATGTCAACGGCTACTCTTTCCATTGGTGCGCCAACTTGATATACTTCATTGGAGCATGTCCCTTATTCTTGGGTCCCCTTTTAGCACAACACGTACTGCATGTCCTGCACCATTCTTCCACATCTTGCCTCACACCTATCCAGTAAAATCACTGTCGTAGGTGACTCAATGTTTTCTTAACTCCAAGATGTCCTCCTGTTAAACTATCATGGGATTGACGCAGCATAACTTCACATAACTTTCTCAGTATAACTGTTTGCCAAGTCGTCACTTTCCCATCTCTGGACAAGAATACCATCTTCAAGCTTCAACTGGTCCCATTGTGCCCAATAGTACTTTGTCACGAGGCTTAAGCTAGACACCTTCTCCCAAGCAGGGTGCAAAACACTTGCTTTTAGAAAATCAGTTATTGGCTTCAAATCTTGATCTTTCTCCTGTTCTGCTTTGATATCTATATTTGGTTCCACTTCACCATCATCAACTCTTTCAGTCACTTTGAGTTCAGCTTGATGACACCTGGTTAGCTCAACCTCTCTCTTGCAGCAATGTCTGCAGTAATTTTTGCAGGGTCTTCGGCTCAGTCCATCGGCAGTTCCATGAGATTTTCCCTCTCTGTATTCAATATCATAATTATACTGGTCTATCTTTTCAATCCAACGTGCCAGTTGTCCCTGGTTTTTTAATGATCTTAACCAGCGTAATGCAGCATGGTCTGTCTTGATGGTAAACCTTGCACCATAGAGATAAGGATGGAAGTATGTCAGACTCTTTACTATAGCAAAGAGTTCCCTTTTTGGTCTACTCAAAACCCTACTGAAGTAGGCCACCACATGTTCATTTTCGCCTACTTTCTGAGACAACACTCCTCCAATTCCGACATTACTAGCATCACAATCCAGTATGTACGGCAGTGAG